AAATACCCCAAAACATTCCATCCAAAAAAATTGATAGCAACACCCACATAAATCAACGAAGGAAGAATGTAAAACCCAAACAAAAAATCATTTCTTTTCTTATTTCATTTTTCTATGCTTACCGCTCTTTTTTAAAAAAGTCACGTCAGCAATTTGAAGAATACTTCAATAAAAATTATCTCGTGACTCTAAATATTTCTCATTCATTTCCTCCTCAATAGTAGATGAAATTCCATCGTCAAGCCAGTCACCATTCAACAACTCCTTATCCCTTGATTTACGATCAAGTTGAGCTAATAAAGCCTCACTCGAAATAACGATTATAGGCACATCAACCAGAGGGACATTAACATTCTAAGCCATAAGATCAACACCCTCAGGTAATAAAGGACTTAATCAGGTAGTAGTAATCAAAGCCACCTCACCACTCAACATGAGTTTCAATAGGAATGTACGCATTGATCTCACCCGCAGGTGCATCATCATTGGAAAGCGTAGGTTCATCATCATTGACATCCACATTAGAAGTAGGAGAAATAATATGACTAGATACCAAATTAGCTAAGCAATGATTTGGCTCATTAACCTCATCAACTTTCTCATTAAGACCACAGCCAGGCACAACCGACAAAGCAACAGACGACAGGTTAGCAACTTTATTAACAGGATCAACAGCCCTAGTGCAATTTTCCCACTAACCTCATTCACATTTGGATTAACAAGAATGGCAAGAGGATTTTCCACATTAACATCAACAATGCCAAGGGTATCTTAAGAGGGTTGGGCTACAACATTGACTAGGAGGGATTTAACAAGAGGATTGGGAAGAGGGTGTAAAATATGGCAATTCTCTTTCGAATGGCCAAGAGATCTGCAATGCACGCTATAATCAAGAAATTCTTCCATTAAGACCGACTGTATATATCCAAATTTATCGGAACCCACCCAAATTTTATCTAGAATTTTTTTGGATACATCCAACTCCATAAGGATACGTGCAACAGATGGACGAGAACCAGAATCCATAGCATAATTAGTTTTTAAGGTCCGACCGAACAAATAGCCCAAACCAAAGAATATTTGCAGAGAGAAAAAGTGAGGCTATAAATTAGGAAAAGAAATCCAAATAAGAATGATAGGAGAATCAACCTCAAAAAGTAGGAACGATGAGCAAAAATCCTACAATAATCCAAATTGTTGAAAGCTTGATCAAGACATTCCTTTAGTTGAGGATTGACCGAAGAATCATTATTCAATTTCATATTAATGAAAAATTTTCTAATAGCATCAATGGAAGGCCTTCGACTCGGTATTTTCCGACTAAAGCAAATTCAAAAGGTGCAGTGAGCGCTTGGATTTCCTCCTCCGAAATCCACAACGCCGGCAGCCCATGGTAAGAAGAAAATTTCAAATATGGAAAAGAAGCTGAACTAGGCGATGCACCAGACAAATCATCTTTAAAGAATAAAGAAGAGGAAGACCCATTCAAAAACCCTAGGTCACACAGGTGAATAGACACCATTTAAAAAAAAAACCACATATAACTAAAAAAAAAAAAAGAGAGCTTCCCTGAATAAGAGTCTGGTGACGGAGGCCACCTAAGCAACAACAAATGGAGTCGGGTAGGGAAAAAACCCTAGCATAGCAAACATTGCCCAATTTTTTTTTATATTCCAAACATTTCACAATAATCATGTGCCTTAAATCTAAGAAGATTAGGTATGCCAAATTTGCAAGTATTTAGGTCAAATCATGACTAAAATATTTAGGCATTCAATTACTTAATCATCATGTATGAAATGTATTTGAGAAAGTTATATTGCATCAATGATATAAAAAATTTCTACATAACAAATTTTGAATCTATTTCATTGAATATTTAAAGATTAAATTAAGGAAATTAACAAACATCAAATATTGAAAGTAATCTCCAAATAATCAATAAACTTGCATGCCTATATTTTTCAATAGGAAATCTCTATTTCAAAATTCCATGATGGGTTTGAGTGTTTGACATGGATTTGAAATGTAATTATAATGAATTTCAAAATTAAAAGTCAAATCATGATATATGATTTTGTAAATTCAACTATAATTAAAATAAAACTCTAATAGAGATAAACAAATTATTGTAGGTTAAAAATATGCCTAAAATCAATCCTACCAAGTTTTAGCTCAAATGGATGAATATTTAATAAGTTATTAATGAAAAATGGTAACAAATATAATTGAAATTATTCATTGTATAGTTATTGTATTTATTTAATTTTAATTTCAAATGAAAGTAGGGATTATTCTGAATCCACATCCTTTTAAATCATTAAAAATGGGTTTAAAATAAAATTATTATGAATTTTCAAAGTTTAAGATATTCTTAAACCATTTTAAATAAATTTTTATTAATTAAATCCTCGGCGACTGATCATTAGTCATGCACGACGGTGCAATCATTCCACATGCTTTCCACTTAGCCATGTTAGTGAACTCCCTCAGCCATCAGATCACACGTGATTTGGAGTGAGCTATTGTGATAACGTCAGACAGAGATGCATGCAATCGGGTGTATAACACGATCTGAATGTGGAATAAAATGTCCAAATCAAGGTTGTTGATCGAGAGATCAATTTCTCAGATCTTATATAATTCATGTGTGTGTGCGCGCGCGCGCGCGCGCACATAGGATGAATCCCAAAAAAAGGGAGATACTCGAATAGAAGATCTATCTCGTGTGTGTGTGTGTTGAACCATAGGATGAATCCCAAAAAAAGGGAGATACTCGAATAGAAGATCTATCCCATATGAGTGAATTTAAAACATAACCAAGATATCGATTCTTAGATATTAAGAATTTGAATTTGAATGAGAGATCTATCCCAGATAAAGATAAATACCCAAATTGGGAGATATCTACCAAACAAGTGAATTTAGAACCTGATAGAGAGATCGATCCTTGGACAGGAAGATTTAGACTTTGAATGGGAGATCTATCTAAAACAAAGATGGATACTTGAATGGGAGATCTATCACAGACGAGTGAATTTAGAACCTGACTGAGAGATCAATTCTCGATCAGGAAGATTTACACTTTAAATGAGAGATTTATCCAAAATAGAGACAGATACTCAAATAGGAGATATATCCCATATGAGTGAATTTAGATCCCGACGAAGAGATTGATCCTCGGACATGGAGATTTAGACTTAGAATGTGAGATCTATCCCAAATAAAGAAAGATACTCGAATGGGAGATCTATCTCAGATGAGTGAATTAAAACCAAGACCTCTAGACTCCACTGGGGATAAGTCTCTTGGTTTTTCCATTTGGACCCAAATTGCTTATGTAACATCAACACTGAATGTTTATACTTTAAGATTTATTTCACAGTAAAAATTCTTTTAATACATTAACTATTGTAATACTTTTTAAGATATCATCCATTGATACACAACATAGGATGATCTCATTTACAATCTATCAACTAATAAGAGCATCCTTTTAATACATTAACTTTGACATCTACTTGTTGAATTCCATATTCCATTCTCGTCACTTACGCTCCTATATTATGACAACATCTCCGCCATACTACTTTCAAACAATCCCATATTTCACACATGTACCAAGCATATCGACATAAACTACCACTTCATCAGAGATCACATTAAGTCTAGGAAAATTGTTGTTCATCACATTCATTCTAAAGACCTGACATCCTTACCAAGGCTCTACCATCTCTCCACTTCCAACAACTTTGTACCAAATTTAACTCTCCAGCCTCTGAATCCTTAATTTGCGGGGTGGTGATAAGCTATCTACAAATAAGCTCTCTTCATAAGCATGCTGACAGCTCTCCAACTCTGTTACATTACAACTCTAGGTCTCCACTACTCTTCTATAGCATAGCTCTACTTACCTCCGTTGCACCTACCACATCTATTATTAGCCACATATATCCTGTACAAACTAAAAAGTGTACTATCTGCATCTCATATATATACACCTCTTATGTACATGAGTTTCCTATGATGAAGTAAAACAATATTTCATTCTCTCTATTCCTTAGTTAATCCATGCTTTCAAGTTTCTCCACTATGTTTGGTTCTCTGTTATAGCAATTTCTTCAGCTCTTAACTTATTGAATTAAGGTTGAGCTACAACTTGAACTTGATTAATTAATCAAGCCAAAATTTAAGTCAAGTGTGGCGGATCAGATCCGACTCTACACATTTGTATCCCTAATCATCTTAAAAACCAAAAGTGTCAATATTAAACTATAAAAAATGTAAACAACTAATTCTAACAATTTCAACTTGGCTAAGCAACCTTAAATCAAGTCAACTAATCAGATCAAAATTTCCATCAAATCTCAGATCAATTGACACGTTTATGCTGGAATGACAATGCATTGACTTTACTCAATGTATCCTAATTTATATATACTATTTCCCTTAAAAAAAATAATGCAAAATATGACTCTCACCAGCCTAAGCCACGTGTTAGTGCTCCATTTAACCGAACTGCAAAGTCCACAACTAATAAAGACTAGACTTTGAAAGTTGACTTCAAATTGCTTTGGAATGAGGAAGGGAAATTCAGCAAAAGGAAAAAAAAATTAAGGGTGAGGACCATCAAATTTTTATATAAGGATGTGGAATATAACTTTTCAAATCTTTTCAATAGGTTTATATTTAAAATTTTGAATTTAAATATATTTTGAATATATTTTATATTAAAAATTTTTAAATGAATTGACTCTTATTTATATAATAGTCTCATTTAAATACAAAAAATATTATTAATATTAATTTATGTAATAAAAATTATATTTTATATGCATATATTGAATAGAATTTAGAAATTAATTTTTATATAAATAAATGATATATTTATGTATGAAAATCCCTACTATAAATTTGATGAGACATTCCTTCATTTTATTTTCTGTGTTCCCATGTTTTTGGCAAACTCGTAAATGACTTTTCTCCTGCCAAAGGGGTTTGATACCGCTGTGAAACTGTTAAATGCTAGACGAGGCGTGCTTCGAACGCTAGCAGTCCTATAAGATGGCCGTCTCTTCTCCGGCAGGCGCCGATGACTGGGCCATAAGGTAGAAGAAGGGAGTTTTCGAACGATCTTTACATAGCTGAGGAAGCAAGAAACGGAATCGAAGCTTTGATCGCAGCTGGTAGATCTTTAATCTTGTACAGCTTTCTTTCCTGTTTTTATCTTTCTACTTGTGGTGATTGATGTAGTTTAGGTCTTTGGGGTCTGATGTCCTTGGTTTGTTTTCTTCGTTCTTTGGTTTTTGGCTTGTTCTGTTTCTACTGGCTATGACTGAATTGCTGCGCTGTTTTGTGGTATTGGGTGGTTCAGTGAGTGGTAAAGGAGTGCTTTGTGTTTTAGTGCTAGCTTTTAGCGATATCTTGTACCTTATTGTTGAATATTGGTTGCTTTAGACCCAGTTTCCCTTTGCTTGGGATTTCCTTTTTCACGTACGAAATCTGCTGGGTTTACTGCGAGATGTGCGGATTGGATAAGGCGTTTTAAGCTATTTAGTCTTTGTATTACATCTAGGAGAAATAAATTCCAGGCCTTGCCAAGTCATTGCCTGGAATTTATTTCTCCTTGGAGTATGAATTTGTCTAATTATAGACATCCTTCAAGTTTGATTCGTGTAAGATTGAAACATCATTTCAGAAGTTTGTTGCAGTTTCTGATTGTTGAAACCAGCATTAATCATTACAATGCGGTAGTGACTTTTCTAACATATAAACACAAGAAATTTTTGGGGGACGTTAGGATTGTCTCACACATGTCCACAAGTGCAATGAGAAAAGTTTCCACTATAATTGAATATAGTATATTATAGTTTTCTCTTCCTCAGTCCTCTAACATTTTGGTTGAAGTTTAATAAATGATACAATAGATAAGAAAGAATGAGGCCGTCCATCGATATAAACATATTATATTTTTCTGGTTTGCCTGTTTTTAAGTTTTTTTCATCATCTTTTTCTCTCGAAATTATTTATAATGTCTTTATTAGTATACATTAGGAAGCATTTTAATAATTTAGCATTTCATTAGTTGCATCATATCATTTTACATCATTGAATCGTCATTTGTGTGAAAGTATTTGTTTAAAATTTACTTTTAATGATCACATGTGTAAGTTTAATGGAGATCCTAATTTGAGATATATGGAATTCATATCAAATGATAAGATAATGATCCATCTGATTTTTTAGAGGTTTTCTATTCGAGCTTTTAAGAAATTAACTACCAGAAAGATAGGGCCTTATAAATCATGTAATTTATTCATAGAAATACTTATAAGTTGAAAATTTTAGGTTGTAGTATTATTCAATTAGTTATTACATTTGATTTGCTTTTATATCATGAACCGATCACCAATGTCTTAAATTTTTTTTTTCATTCCATCTATTTTTTGGGAATTCATATCCATCATATCATTTACATAATTCTCAAATTGTCCTAGTAATCTTATTTCTAAGACTCATTATGGATAAAATTAGAATGATGCATAGAAGATTAGTGTAAGGATGCAATGCATAATCTAGAGATAGGTGAATTTTTTTTTTGACCCAAGTTGTTGGAATAAGGCTAATGATGATTGTTGGAGAAAAAATCATATCTATTATTGATGGAAGATTCTAAAAATATCCTATAAAATGGAAAGACACGTTTACAAGTGATAATTCATTGATTTATCTTCTCTACATAGAGTGCAGCAATTATTCCAAGATTTGGTTAAAAAAATATCAATTGACAATTTGTCTAAGCAAAATTTTTTTCAACCCTTTTAGATTGATGTTGAAATCCCTTCTGTGACTACCATAACCTTTCCCTATTTTAGTTTAATTTCCTATATTTTTTGGCTTACTTTTAGTGAATCCTCTATTTGGTTCGGTGCATTCCTTCCACTTAGCTTATGTTGTGAGTTTTCCTCTTGGATGGATCTTTTGCTGAGCTTTTATTTGTTGGTGCTCCAGTCGGTTCCTTTTTGATGTTCTTCTATTTGTACGTGGCTAATATCACATCTTGTAAGTGAGCATTTCTTGATTGCTCCTTATGATTTCACAATAACAGGATTTTCATTCTTATGATTTATGGGATTTGTCTTTCAAATTGGTTTGAAATGGTTACTGGTGTTGACTATAAGTATGGGTTCTATGGCATGTAAAAAAGATGGTTCCAATAATATTTTCTTTTGGTTATTTTGTTTCCTTTTTGTGTTGGGTATTGGTTAAATGCGATTCTTTTTTAATCTAGAATATGAATTTATGCAAAATTATATTGGATGGAATGACCGTAGTTGCTTTTTAACAAAATAAATTTGACTCTGTGGGTTTAAACTTTAAAGTTCATATTGCAAATAAAATAAAAAGCACAACTACACAAACATATTGTCTCTGCAGATAACCTTACATCATTTTCTTGTTATGATCATCCAAAGCAGCAAGAGGTGTGCATGTTTCTAAAATATATATTTTTGTTCTTTCACTGAAAGGATGGTTCTCTAAAATGAGGGATTGTTTGGACAAAATTGTTAAGCTGCCTTCTTTGGGACCTATTGGTTATGAATTCGAATCATAAAAATATCTTTTCAACCATCTAGGGGTAAATGATACCATGCTTGAAACTCTCCGTAGACTTCAAGTTAGCAGGGGCCTCATAAGCTAAGCATTGCCCTTAGTTCTGGAAATTGTATTTTATGATTTGCATGCAAAGGCCACACCTCAAGTAGAAGCCCAGGACCAAGGAATAAGATTTTCATATTTATTAATTATCTTCCCGGTACACACATTTTATTTGAAGTATAAGATTATGCATGATACTTTTGTTTTTGTTTTTTTTTTTTCTATATTTTAGTTTAGTGAGATTGAATATTTTTCTTAGCTTCTCCTCTTTCTTAATTTTACCAATTCTTATGAAGTTGGATAGTCTATACACTACTAAACTATTTTCTTATAAATGACTATGGGCTCCAAGGTGGTCTATTTAGCTTTGTGCATGACCTGGAAGATGTTTATTATTCTTTAAATTGATCCAGCACATTCAATTATTCTATCAATTAGAGTTGAATTTATTATTTAAAGAGCTTAATAGTTCCAAGTAATTCCAACGAAATGAGCATTGATGATTTCTTGCATTCTTTTATTCAAAATAATAGTGCATAATCATTGAAAATTACACTTTTTTTTAATTGAAAATTATACACACGCACATACTTTATTTTTAAGTTTAATCTCTTAATTGTAACCATTTAATTTATAATTTATTTATTTTTTTGTTTTTAATTTTAAATCAGAATTTGACTCTTAATAGTACACAATGGACAAAAAAGGATTCATGTAGCTCACCCCACATAGTGGGATAACGGCTTGATATTGTTGTTGTTAATAAATAACTACTTAAAATTATCTTATATTCATATAAATTTGTAACTCTATATTATGTGAAGGCAATCATAGTCAGTTTATATAGAAAGACTCAATTAAAAACCTATTTAATATTACATATTTATTTTATTTTGATTTATTTAATCAAATTTCAGTAATTTTTTTATTTTAAAGATCTATTATTTTCTAAAATTTCAAATTGACGCCATGATTTAATCAATTGTAATGCATATTAACTTCGATACACAAATTAAATATAAAGGCAACAACTTCAACAATATTTATATGTACTTAAACAATCATCAATTGACTGTATTAATACATATTCTTTATAGTTATCACATATATACTATTATTAAAATGGTATTTTACATTCCGCCTAAAGTAAATAATTGTCATTCATCCATTGTTGATTTATACTATACTAACATGGCTTGGTATAACCCCAAAATAATATCCTAAACATCATGATCATTCATTCATTTTTTGATCTATTTTTTATTAATAGGTGGTTGATATCTCACTAAAATAAAATCATCTAAAAAAAAATCACGGTCATATTAATATTCTTATTAATCTATTACTGGTTTGTACTATTATTAATACATATTTGATCTTACGGCTATTCTACTAGTTTTCCAGCTTTTTCAGTGAAGATAGATAGCTTTTTTTATTGTTTCGAGTTTTCTCATGTATATGTAAATTGACGAACTCAACCCAGTTTGTCCTCTTCAATTGCTATAATTTAGGACTACGAGAGCAGTATTTTTTTTTTCTAACTTTTTATTACAAAAACAACAACAACATAAAGCCTTTATCCCACTATGTGGGGTCGGCTACATGAATCCTTTTTCTCCATTGTGTCTTTTTAAGAGTCAAATTCTCATTTAAATCTAAAAAAGAAAGGTCATTTCTAATTTTTTTTCCAAGTCTTTTTAGGTCTACCTCTACCTTTCTTAACATAAGCCAAATCTAATACATCTACTTTCCTAACCGGGTCATTGGAAGGCCGCCATTTTATGTGACCAAACCATCTAAGGTGGCTCTCTCTAATCTTATCCTCCACTGGAGCTACTCCAATCTTTTCACTTATATGCTCATTTCATATCCTATCTATCGAACTTTTAAATTGCTAAAAATATTTATAGAATGCAAATCAATTATTGCTAAAAATATTTTTAATGAAATATTAATGATGAAACCTAAATGAATAAGAGGCTATAGCCATACATAAAAATAAGTGGAAGTATGGATTTGCTTGGCCTCACAAAAGGAAAAATTATTGATGTAGAATGGGAAGGGGGGGTCATATGAATTTGAAATTTCAAGTTAAGTGGGAAAGAGAGAGTAAGGGGCTATCAAAATTAAATCTAATCTAAAATTAAATTTGACTTAATTTTAGGAACTTTCTTAATTTAGCTTGGTTAATTTAGGAAAGTATTTTAAATTCAAATTTGAAATTCAAATTGAATTAAAATCTTTCCCAAATTATTTAGGCTAATTTAGGCATGTAATAATGATGATTGAAATCATCATCAAGAGGGCCAAGGAGGTGGGAGGGTGTCCACATTTGATGAATGTGTCCAAGTTCAATGAATCATGAAAATTGGTATTAATTTCAATTAAATTCATATTGGGAGAGATTTGGGGGGTTTCCAATAAGCGATTTACTAATTAGGAAAATTAATTTAAATCAAATCCAACTAGAAATTTAATTAGATCCAACTTAAGTAACTTTCCTAAAATAAGAATCCTTAATTATGAA